TTAAACAATCAGCTGAAGAGATAACATTTCAGTTGGAGGAGGTCTTCGTTTGGCATCTAGAAACCGCTGGAGAGGAACGTGCGTTCGACCTCACTGAAGACCTTATCTGCATCTGGACTAGCATCGATCTTCTTCACCTGGCCAGCGCCCTCAAAGTGCTTGATAATGGGCAACGAATCGTTGTTGTAAGTCTGTATGCGCTTCTTTAGACTTTCCAGATTATCGTCCGAGCGTCCAGAGCCACCCTGGCCTCGGTTCAAACAACGCTTTACACACACCTCCTCGTCGCAGTCGAAGAAGAGCACAAATTGCATGTCTACCTTCTCGGACATTTGACGATTCCAGCCATCCAGATTGTCCTGGTTGCGTGGGAAGCCATCGATGAGGAATAGCGATTTACCTGAGTTTTTCATGGCGTTTTCCAGAAGCGAACACGTGACGTCAACGGGCACGATTTTCCCATTACGTATGTAATCCTCGATTAGCGTTCCGAACTCTGAGCCCTCACGCGAACGCTCCTCCCGCAGTAAGTCGCCCGCGGAAAGGTGCGTGAAGAGGAAACGATCCACGATTTTGGAGCATTGTGTGCCTTTGCCAGCACCGGGGCCTCCGAGAACAAACACAACCTTTGGCTTCGAACTGCTGGTCATGATGATGGGTTGGAGGTTGTGTTTCTTACGGTAATACGTGCTGCAGAAATTTCTCACGTTGGAATGTGGTGGCAAATGCTGCGTCAGCGTTATTTGTTGCACCACTTCTGTCCCACCCTCTAATGCTCTAGGTAGTCGCGCAAAAGCCCGCCACATTGACAAATGAAGCTAATTGGCTGCGTGGTATGTGTATATAGTAGGCAAAAACACCACCATTTTTCAGTGTCAATTCCCAGAGCAGCTGTTAATAGCTGAAACGTTTGCCAGCACTGGCTACGCCCACTCCGCAGTTTGAATGGCAACAGCCTATTGCATTTAGTAGAATTAATAAATGTATGTCAAAATCAATTGGCACTGGGCACACTGCAAGCACGTGGGGAACATAACCTCTACGCCAGGTAAGTATTGGAGCAAAGCTGTAACCAAGTTACATATTACGACGTGGCGATTTCCCCCTTGAAAGGCGGGTGGCCAAATAATTCCCCTCTACCTAAGGGTAAAGCGGTAACTTAAAACCTCAAAAAAAAAAAAAAAAAAAATGTATGTTAAAAATTAATGGTGAGAGAAGCGCCGCGATCTGTGACGAGAAAGCACGTGGGGAACATAACCTCTACGCCAGGTAAGTATTGGAGCAAAACTGTAACAAGTTACATATTTCGACGTGGCGATTTCCCCCTTGTAAAGGCGGGCGGCCAAATAATTCCCTTCTACCCAAGGGTAGAGCGGTAACTTAAAACCTCAAAAAAAAAAAATTAATGGTGTAATATGCAATGTATGAATTGTACGAAAAATTATGTTTTTTAATTTATTTTATTCGATACTCTTATTTGTTAAATGAGCTGCCCCTGGTTGTTTTGTATCAAGTCAGCAACTAGTTGATATGGAATAATATGCTGGGAGCCGGGCGCCATGTCGACCTCCTCATCGTCAACGCCGACAATGACAGCAGGCACTAAAATGTTAAGAAGATTATGCATTAAATTCCTTTTGCGGGTGCTTTAAATTATTCACCTGCCACATTTGCCTTGAGGAACACATGACTCATCAGGTTGGGTGCAACGATTCTTTGCTCGAGCTCTCCGCGCTGCTGGTTGGGCATGTACTGTGTGGCCACCTTGTGGAAGTATTCATCCACATGGCTGGAGTATTCCCTGGCAAATTTCGTCTCCTCCGGCGACAGGCGCTTATCGTCCGGCTCGCGAACATCCTCCTGGTTGAGTATATGCTGGGTGAAGGTCTCGATTTTCTGCAGACGGCATCTCAGGTAGCTGGCCATGATGTAGCGCACACGTTCCAGCTCCATGCTGTGCACCACAGCACGGAAATCATTCTTGTCCAGGTCTTTCATTTGCTCCACCATGTGCGACACCTGAGAGACCATTAGCTCCAGCATATCCGTCTGATCGGGCAGTATTTCGGGGGCACACATTTCATTGATCCAAGCTGTCTCCAGAACCTCGAGCACCTGTTGATTCAGGATTGAAAAATTATTCCAGGGCATGTGAAAGTGAGGCATACCTTTTGAGCCGTTATTTGTTCCATTTCGTCATCATCCTCCTCTTCGTCATTGTCCAAGGCAGTCTCAGTTTTCAAATCATTCTTCTCTTGAAGATCGACAATATGTTCGTCACCCGACATGGTTTTTGTGTATTTTGTTTTTTTTTCCAATTTCTGGCGCAAAGTTAACAACTTGTTTACGTTTCCTGCGAATGGCGAACTGTATAACCCTGCAGCCTTGTGCAACACTAGACCAGCACACGAGATGGCCGCCGCCGCACAACAAAAGGAATTTCAAAAGAATTTTCGATTAATTGTTGAGAAGATCTTCAACAATTGGCAGAACCTTAGGCTCGCCGTGGAGCATGGCATGGGCGGACGCAATGGCCAGCAGGTTAGACCATTTCTACATTTATTTTCGGCGAGAAGTCTAACCTAAAATAACTTCGTTGCAGGTGGCCATTCAAATCATGGACTACACATATCAATATTGTGTAGGCAACGAAAAAATCTCGCAGGGCGAGCTGGAGGCAGTGATTGAAGAGCTAATGGACCAGGAATTCAACACGCTGTGCGACGATAATTCCATACCAGAGATCTGCAGCAATCTTCTGCGCTATAAGCAAATGGCCCAGCAGAATCAGTATCCAGATATTGAAGCGGAGCTCATCAAATTGCCACCCGGCAAGGAGTGGTTGCGTCCCGATGTCAAAGTAACATACACACCCGTAGACGGCGACTCGTCCTCCGACGAAAACATGGACGAAGACGGGGATGATGATGACGAAATGGATGAGAGCGACGAGGAGGATGCACCTATCGTCAGTGCACGCGTAACCCGCTCCCAGACACGCATGCAAAATGCTGACAAATTCGTTGAGCCAGAAGATGGCTGGACAACGGTCCGAAGAAAATGAATTATTTTCACGGAATAAAGGAAATAAGTTAGTTTTTGTTAGTTGTAATATGCTGTATTCACTTCTTGGAGGTCGAGAAATCTTAAGGGGGCTATGGGTGCTCGCGTTACTGGCTTATGCGATGTTCTGCACAGCTTGCAGCTGATTGGTGGCTTCTTGTGCTTTGATGGCGAGTCTTCCTGCGGACTTTTAAGCTGTGACCAAGATGTAAATTCTTTGCCCTTAGGTAGCGTTAGTTTGGGGCTTACAACGGAATGTACTGAATCTACGTTGACAGTCAGCGACATATTGATGGCCGGATATATGAGGAATGCGAAAAACCAGGCGAACATAAGCACCAAAAATGGAACAAAAACTGCAAAGTATTTATCCGGCAAGTAGGGTTGCAGGCCAAACTCGAAGGGGAGGAGCGCCCATGCCAGATAGACAATAAAAAGAACCGTAAACAGCATATAGAACGCAAAGCCATAGATGGCTCTATGCGGAGTCGGTGCTGGACTGTGCTCCGGCATTGTTTTCCTCCTGTGCTTCCGGTTCGACTGCTGCGTCCCCAAACTGCTTGATGGTGTCTTGGCAGAGCAGAAGGGCCTCGAAAAACGAACTGATGGCCGTGCGCAGATTCTTCACTTGGTCCGCATAGAAATGTACAACGAGAACATCCAGCTCCAGGCTCAATGTTTTCTGCACGAAATTTCGTCGAGGCTCCTTGTCAACACTTAAGACACGGTAGGCGATTTCGGCCAGTTCTGGCGTATCAAACGACAAATTTAGGGTTCTTTGGGGTAAATCAACAAATATAGTGAATGTTCCATGTCTAAATATATGGTAACTTACGATTCATAAGGTTTTGCGGAAATTTGTGGCATTGTAAAGTTATAAATTATTGCAATGTCAGCTAAAAATATGAATGGCACATAATCAAGAAGCAGCAGCACCAGCACCAAACGACAATCGTAAGGTTCTGTTTTAGCAAAACATCCAATTCTCGTATGTCGTAGGTGTTAAACATCAACAGCTTACGATTAATATGGTTTTGCCGCAATTTCGTAATTATAAAGTTATTAATTATTACAATGACAGCGAACAAATGTGAATGGCAATTATCAAGGCGGCGGCAAACTTGCTTACCTCTTTCACAGCTGGTTTTACCACACTGCCCGCATATTTACATATGTAGTGTGCATTCAATATTTTCGCTAACTAACCAAATAACGGATTCCTGTTTGTATTTTCTTTATTACAAAATTTTTTCACGTCCAAAATAAGTGTTTCACACAAGTTCCCATAAGTATCAATCTACTTCTTGGGCTTGACTGCGGCTTTGGGAGTTGGTTTCTTGCCGGCGGCCTTTACGCCAGATTTGCCTGCGGTCTTGCCAACGGGCTTCTTTGTAGCGGCGGCCTTTGTGGACTTCTTGACCTCGACCTTCTTGACTGGCTTGACAAGTGCCTCGCGCTGACTCTTCAGGGCCTTGACAATCTTCTGCTCCTCGATGAGAAAGGCGCGCACAATGCGCTCGCGCAGGCATCCATGGCACAGGACACCGCCGTAGGTGCGGGCCACGGTCTTGAGGCGCTTGGACATGCGTGGGCGCTCGCTGGGCCGGGATGGGGTGATGCCCTTAAGTTTCTCCTTGCACTGACCGCAACGTGGAACGGTCTTGTTCTTTTTCACATACTGGTAAACCAGACGGCCGCCGGGAGTGCGCACACTGTAAACAAACAAAATATCAGAATTCGACTAGATCTTTGGGTATAATCTCATCCTCTACTTACATGCGCCTCTTGTTGGAGCGGGTGTTGTAGGACAGACGCCTCCTCAAAGTCAATCTCTGCACCATTTTGTGACTGCGACCGGAAAAAAGTCATGTTCGCAAACATATTCACAGGGAATAACGGGGCAACAAATTATAGAATAGAGGGAAAATACAAGGCAATTGCACATAAGTAAACTGTGAAAATATGGCTGGCAAATTTGTACATCGTTTTCTAGCACAAATGGCCATCTTTCGACGTTCAATCGCAGGATGTCGGCGGATTATATAGAAGTTCGGGCATACATACTTTGTAAAAAAAAACCAAAAGAGAGGGAAATAGAGATGAGCAGTTTGACCGCGGAATTATCGATTAAATATACCGTCAGACCCTCAAAAATATACCATCTCATTTAAAAAATATACGGGAACATACCGTAGTCTTGAATCATTTTCCTCCATGTTTATGTTATATTTAATATTACCAGATTGCAAAGACTTTTAACACTGAAATAATAATTTAATCCGATTGAACAATTCATCGTGGAACGAAGCGTGCATCCTAGCATCCATGGAAGCTCTACGTGAGTCCGACTCATCGTCTATTACATGATATTATCGTCGTGCCAAATATATCGATGGCTGAGCCGCAACTAAGTAGTCAACACGCGCACATTTTATAAATAAATCGCGACTTTTACGAATTTCTAATTGAAAATATGAGTTTCCTTAAACCCAAGACCCACATTGAGCAGGGGGACATTGTAATCCTATACCTGAGTGTCAATTCCATGCATGCCATTGAGGCAGTGCCCACAATAGTGAACAAAAAGGGCGAAACTATACAACACATCTTCCAGACCAATTATGGCTCGCTCAAGGTGGAAAGTCAGTAAAACATTTGCCTTCGGTGCTTCTTTTAACTTGTTGCTGATAACCTGAGAATCTCTCGTTTGCAGGCATCATTGGCGTGGAATACGGCAGCCGCGTGGAACTCTCAAAGGGCTGGGCCAATGTTCTGCAGTCCTCCCCAGAGCTATGGACACAAACACTCCCGCATCGCACTCAAATCATTTACACCCCAGATATAAGTATGATTCTGCACCAGCTGGAGGTGCGACCCGGTGCCGTAGTCATTGAATCGGGAACAGGTTCCGGCTCGCTGTCGCACTACATTCTGCGCGCTCTGAAGCCCACCGGTCATCTGCATACATTCGATTTTCATGAGGCTCGCGCCGACCAGGCCCGCGATGAGTTCAAGCGTCACGGCCTCGCCGCATACGTAAGCGTATATCACAGGGATGTGTGCAATTTGGGTTTCAGCACCGAACTGGATGGGGCCGCCAATGCGGTATTCTTGGATCTACCCGCACCGGATTTGGCTGTGCCGCATGCATTCAAGGCGTTAAAGTTGTCGGGTAAGTGAATCGAAGCGCTCGTGTTGACAAGAAGTTGTCAGTGGCGGCACAGCCTGAGGCGGAGTCCAAGGCTTGGCCTGGTCTGCAATCAAGAATCCCAGGTGAAGTGGACAGTCAGTCAGTCAGGCTGCCATTTCATTGAGCCTGACATTGAATGAGGCCGCTTTTGACACACGATGTGGCCACGGCAGGACGGCTGGCTGTACTGGCTACCTGGTTGGCTGGCTCGCTGGTTGGCTATCTGTGCAACGTTTGTCATTAGGGGAAGTGGAATTTCGATTGTTCGTCAGGCGGTATCCTAAGCTAGTGGAAAGCCCTTATCTTAAGCAACTCAAATTTTAAGCAATCCTAGGCTTTTTATTTTCGTTTTGATTCTTCTTTCTAGGCGGCCGCTTTTGCTCTTTCTCACCTTGCATTGAGCAGTCACAGCGCTGCATTCAAGAGCTCACCAAACTGGGATTTAACGAGATCTGTTCGATGGAGGTTCTGCAGCAGGAGAGCGTCATCAAGACGCGTTCGTTGCCCGTCATCGATTTGGAGTTTCTTAAATTGCCCAAAACTAACGAATCATCCTCGCCTGAAGAGACCAAAACACCCAAGGAGTTGAAGAAGTATCTCACCTCGAGCAATCCCCAAACGTTGCCCGGACACACAGGCTTTCTCACCTTTGCCACGCTGCCGCCCAATATACCAAAGGCTTGATTAATAAATGTGCATTTTATTTTCGTAATTTACATGTCGCTTTCATCAGCCATCAAAGGATTAGGCATATTCCTCAAACAATTTGCGCTCGCTGCTTTTATACGAGCCGCAGTGGTAGCAACGTTGGTGAGGCAGCGGCTGTTGTGTCTTGCGATTCCATGAATTTCGGGCCGGGGCCCATTGTGTACGCTGCTCGGGAATGGCCACCTCGGTGCGTTCCGGATTGCCGCTGCACGTGGGACAGCGACCCACCACTGTGTGCTTCGGCAGCATACCATAGATGAGCGTACCCGCCGGCTGCTGACCATAATTGGTAACAATCTCCGGCAAACTGGAGTACGGACGTGTGGGAAAGTGCTTTTCGCGATTGAGGAACCTAAAAGAGAAACCAAAATGAATGCTCCTGACAAAAGGTATACAAAATGCTTCGCTACCCACGTGGGTCGCGGCTCTAGCCAAACATTGTTGATTCGCTTCGTTCTCATGATGTCGCCCAGCTTCTGCAGAAGCCGTAGATTTTCACGCTCAATCTGCTGCTGACGCTCGAGCTCGTTCTGTTGCTTTTTCCATTTGCGTTGCACGTGCTCGTGGCAGCGTGGCGTATGCGTATCGATGGCTGGGCGTGCGGACAATACCTTCTCCCGATGCTGTGCATAACGGAGCTGCTCCCAGGGCTGTTGCAGCAATTTGTCGCGGCGTGAGATCATTCTCGCAGGCAACTCCAAACTGAACTCAAGGGTAGAAAAGGTGGTGTTTGTGCTGCACACATGTTTATATGCACAAACAGCGTGCGTCCATAACAACCTTGCCAGGACAACGGATACTTCACAAGTATTGCACAATCATTCTCAGATTAAGTCCAACGGACCGGTCCGGACTAAAACGATGCGCAGCGACTGCGGCAGCTGTCTATTCGTGTGGAGTGACATCTCCAGTGACTTGACTTGCAAATTTGCGGCCAGTGCCAGTGCAACTGCAGTTGTTACATAATTCTGGGTGTGCTTGCTCTCTCCCCAGTCTGCTGCTGCTTGTTATGTCCAAAAAAGTTCTGTGTAGTAGCCGCTCCCTGTACTCTGGCGGTACTTGGAGTGGCGGCAAAAGCTCCTTTCTTCTTTAAGCTGAAGAATCAGCCTGCTGTTCGGGACAGTAACTGCTTGGTAACTCCTGGGTGTGTTGGGTCTGCTGTTGCGGCTGTTGATCCCGTTGCTGCTCATATGTCAACCGGCAACTGGCAACTTGTTGCTGCTGCCGTTCTAAATACCCCTCGTTTAGTGGTTTGATGGATGTTAAGTACCCTTCCAAAAAAAAAGCCTTTCCCATTAGATTCAATCATTTTGCATCAATCAAAAGTGTGAAGGAAAATGTGATTGAGAAAGAAGCGAACTTCTGGGTAAATCTTTACTGCTATCCCAATGTCTTTTTCCGAGCTGCTTCAGCTGTCAAAAAGTACTAAAATATTCCGAAACAATTGTTCGCCTCTTGAAGTGGATTAGCCCCCTGTTGTCGCTTACAAAAAGGCGTCTGTTGTTGCTTGCAGCTAGGCCAATAGGCGTACTTGTTACCACAATTCCAATTGATCCGTTTGGGGTCGCGTGAGTCTGCACTATTTCACAAATTTAAAAGAACTCAAAAGCCGATATTTATTGGTCAGTTAATTGGAAGATTCGTACACTGAAACAGCGCATAGTTGGTTACCGCTGGCAAACGTGTTGCTAATCAAAGTCTTACCTCTTGTTATGCCCTCCCCCTTTCTCGTTAGCTTTTGTGTATAGAAAAATTATCTTGTTTGTTGAATCGACAACTGTAACGAATTTTCACTTGGGGTTCACCGCGGCTCTGCGCCACGGGGTAGTCGCAAGTGCTGCATTTCACCTTTAAATAAAAACAACAAAAATAGCCAATGCCATAGCTGTTTGGCTCGTCATTAAACACCTGCTTATTTGTGCATAAATTTCCATTTGGAAATGATTCTTTTTATTGAAAATTATTTTCCATCAAAAGGCATATAATTGTGCCGGTCTCGGGCTCTCTGGCTATGTAGTCTCCGGTCTGTAGCCTGCCTGGGTGTGTGCCAGTTTGGGGTAGGGTGCAGCCTTAGCCTTTTGCCCGCCAGCAATATGGCCAGTTTCTCACCTTTAGCAGCCGGCCCCAAAGTCTCAGATATGTTTACGCTGTGGAGAGACGATGGCAGTTAGTTCGGCAGTGTGTACTGAGTTGGGCTTGGATTGTGGTGATTATGTGAATACCCTTAAAATGGGAAGGAAGCCCTAGATTTTAATAGTAAATTCAATCTTATTAAAATAATTACGCTCTCTGGAAAGACTTGTTAAAATGTTGGATCTTATCTTAAAATTTTTAAGACCACTTTTTCGGGCATATTTTCTCTTTATTACATCAGATCCAATTTTTTTAAATTTATTCCTTCTCTTTTTTATGACAGTTTCCATATTTGTATAATATTTTAGCCCTTTAGTCAGGACATACATATGTACATACATATGTACATACATAATACGTACATACATTAATACAATTTAATTAAAAGTTTTTCACATTATGTCTAACATAATTATCAATAAGCATAGGAATCATTTATTAATTTAGGTTATATTTTCTGGAATCTGTTTAACTATTCAACCTTTCATTCCGCCGATTTCTTTTATGAAATTCAATATCTGTGATGTCTTAAATATCGTTCATCACTACAAATTACTCAAAATAAAGTTTGACATTTTCTTTTTAAAAACCAATAAACAGTTTTTTATGTAGCAAACAATTTATTTGTAAACATTTTTCTTTTACTGATACATTTAAATAAGCCTTTCCCATCAGTATATCCTCAACTTATGTCATTTACATGTGCTCAGATTTTCCTTTTAAGTACTTTCTCTGGTCTCCAGAATACCCCACATTATGTAGCGCACAAAGAGCTAACTATACATTCATATATAAATATATATTTTTCATATTTTTTTTAGCTTACTCTCATATAATACAAAGTGTACAACCTATGCCATGCTCTCCTGTCCATTTATTACAACATGAGCCGGCCAAAAACAGCCGACAACATCAGCTGCAACACACAAAAAAAGAGTTAGTAGAATCCTGCGATTTGCTGTCAGCTAATAATAATAATTTCGATACTGAAAATACGTTTTCTTAGTTAGATACGACACTAAACGATTTCGCCCAGTCGTAGTCGTTGCTATTGTTGGACCTTCGACACTGCTAAAAGTCAGGCAACGTCCAACGATCAACAGGCAACGGACAACCCACCAACAGCTCGAGCGCGCCACTGAAGGAAAAAATCGACCCAAAAGTGGACCGTTGGTGGGGGCGGTGCTATATGACTGCAGCCTGACTGCCTCGCTGCTTCTTCTTCCACACTCAGTTGCGGACAGGTGGTGTGTAGTGTCGATGTTCGGTTCTGTAGGAACGTTTTCCCGCTGCCCGTTGGTGTTCAATATGAGCCACAATTGAGGCATTTAATCGAGCATCTCTTAACACGCCTTGGAATGTTCACTTATTATTGGCCCAAGTCCAGCCGGGCCAGCAAGGCAGAAAAGAAGGCAGACAGCGGACAGCTGGGCAGTAATTTTTACTGACTCCCTCTACAGGCAGTCCCAGCCCCTGCCACAGTCCCAGCTATACTCCCAATACCCCCCTCGCCCCTCCCCCACACCATTCCCTATCCTCCTCATCCAGCCTCTGTCACTTCCTCAGTCTCAGCCGCAGCCGCAGCCGCAGCAGCAGCCGCAGCCCCTGCCCTAGCCCCTACCCCTGTCCCATCTGTACCTGCCTTGGAGTCTCTCTCTCTGCGTCGGTGTCAGGAGTCTGTGGTTACCTTACAGTAAAAGCGTTTATCATCATTAGACTCAATCTAAAGACGTTTCTGGTCGGGGGTTATCATGTTGATTATGTTGTGTGAAAACAAATTACATTTTTTCGACCGCTCTCTCTTTTTCTCTCGTCCTCTTACTTCAGATCTATATGCCTCTGTTTTGCCTCGCTTCTGCCTCTCTCTTTCCTATATTTCGTCTCTCTTCTGCTGTCTGTTGAATGTGCTAAATGTGAAGATGATCGCCGAGTTCCATTGTGATTATTGACAAACCAATTGCTTGTCCCGCGAGAGAGGAGAATGGAAATGGAATGGAATTTCCTGAAAGGCTTTTCCTCAGCAAAGCACATCCGTGAGAAGTGCCGTGAGAAAATTGTGCAAACAGCACAACAATATTTTCCAATTTGCTAATGGAAGAACTTTGCCTATCATTTTATTTTAATTTTTGGTGTGGCACAGCTGTGTTCTATATAGTTTTGTTGTTGCTGTTTTTTCTGATGCAAGTGGTATTGCCTGCAGCTGCAACAACAGCAGCGGTATTTCAAAACACTCAAAAAAAATACCCACCGGCTATATTTTTTGTTTTCTTATTTATTTTGTTGTGTCTCTTGCTTAATTTTCCTTTGCAGCATAGCGTAATTATTTAGCGGTTTGGCATGGCAAAACCGAAAACTGCAATAACAATTTGTATGTACTCTTAAATGCAATGTTTTATTGTGCTTGCAACAATATCGTGCTACGAGTATTCGTACCTTTATCCACTTTATTTTGCTTTAGTTTTGTGTGCCACACACACACACAACGACACGCGGTAGTGCTTGGCTACTTGCAGCAGGGTCATTGTCGCACCTTGACGCTGTAGTTGCAGCCAGCAGGCAGCATATCGATTTTGTGGCAGTTACTTTATTTTATTTTTTATTTTTATACCCGGTACTCGAAGAGTAAATAGGGTATATTGTACTTGTGCGAATAACGGTTGTATGTAACGCACAGAAGGAAGCGTTTCCGACACCATAAAGTATATATATTCTTTATCAGCATCAATAGACGAGTCGATAGAGCCATGTCTGTCTCTCCGTCTGTCCGTCTTGTTTGTCGGCTAGTTCTCAGAGACTATAAGAGCTAGAGCCACACAATTTTGCATCCAGACTGCTATATGCTCACACTGAAACCAGTGTACTTCAAAAATTAGCCCGCCCCCTTCCGCAAACGCAAAAGGGCGAAAACCTCCCAAACCTACAGTTTTGAAGATAAAAGAAAACTAAAAACGCCATTCTGTAGGGAATGACTATATATATCAGATCATCAAATTAAGATCGGATTGTATCATTATTATGGCCACAATGAAGAAATTAATTTGCAGTGGCTAAACCCACCCCGTCCCGCAGCTTATATTTGTTCTTTGCACATTCTCTCATTCACACTCTGCTTCGCGCAGACACGTCTCTGCCTCTGCCGCGTCTCTGCCTTGACTCTGCGGTGTGTGGCTCTAGGGGAGGGTGGCGAGCTAAAGGAGCGTGTTGGCGTGAGTAGTGTTGTTGATGCAGATGACAGATGAAGAACAAATGTAAAATTTGACAAATAACCGCTAAGGTGCAGATGTAGTACTGAGTCCTGCACTCAGTATAAGAGTTGTGACGCGTAAGAAGCGTCTCACACGTCCCTTTTCGTTTTTTTCACAATTTATTGGACTTGGGCAGGTTTGGTTAGTCGCTTTTGTATGTATTTGCGTGTCTTTGGTGTTTTGTTGTCCAATTATTGTTTTGTTTTGTGCCCCTGTGTGGCTTGCCTATTTTATCTTGTCAACGCAATCGTCAATGTGTATTTTTGTTGATAGTTTTAATTAATTAACAACAATCGTAGGGGTCTCAATGGCATGGCCCGGTGTGGCATAGTTTAAGCGATGGAAATTGGCTACTTATTAGCCAAAATGAGTGTTAAAACTGAGTAGGGAAAAAGTTTTTTGT